TACTACTACTACTACTACTACTACTACTACTACTGGTACGACTACTACTACCACCACTACTACTACTACTACTACTACTACTACTACTACTACTACTACTACTACTACTACTACTGAGGCGGCTACTACCATTACTACTACTAACGTGGTAGACCCCTGCTACTAAAACTACTAACATTACGGATGCGACTATTGTTAATAATTGTGATACAGCTACAACTGCTGTCACTGCTATTGCTCCCGCTATTGTGACTGCTGCTAGCTGCTTCTGCGACATCTACTGCAACTGTTACTGCTACTTCTACTGCTGGAACTGTTGCTACTACTGCTATTGCGGAAACTGCTGCTGGCCGTACCAACCCATAGCTAACACTCCCTAGTAGCTGCTCCCGCAGCTGTTAAACTTGCCATTGCCTGATGCGAGATGGTTCCGAGTTGCAGTGTGTCAGCCAAATATACCTACGACTGGCAATGTACGGCTTTTACGTCGCGAGTGCTACGGCCGACCATACGGAGTACGTGTACTACTGAAGCCGTTTGCTGCTACTACTGCTACAGCTTAACGTTAGTGCGATTCCGACTACGACTACTCCTTATACAAAGACAACGACGGCCTTGACAAAGACGCAGAGGGCTGGACAGGACGCGCGCCACGACTGGCAGCAGGGGCGGGCGGGAGGCCGTCCGCGTCGGCCACCGTCCGTCGTCCACGCTGACGTGGTCCTGCCTGAACTCCTACAGCGCTCCCTCCGCCTTCCCCTCCTTTCTCCTCGTCCTCCTCTTCCTCCTCGCCCTCCTCCCTATTCCGCACGTGCTCCCCATTCTCCTCATCCCTCATCCTCTTCCTGGTTCTTCTCATCGCGCTCCTCCCTCCTTCCTCCGTTTGATTCTGTCCAGGACGAGGCGATCCTCCCATGCGGCCCCTGCCTCTTCTCGCTATCAACATCTTCCTCCTCCCTCCCCCCCTCCGCTTCCTCTTCCCCGTCCTCATCCAGAGGAGGAGAAGGAGCAGAAGAAGGAGAGGGGAGGAGGAGAAGGAGGATCCCCCTCCCGAAAGCAGAATCCCTCCAAGAAACTGCAAAGCATTCGAACACCCCAATACCTCCACCATACCTCCATACTCTGTCCCACAGCATGGGATAAGGCTCGCGCGAAGTATGTTCAGTCTCGGAGTCGAAACTATGCATGCTGATTTTGGTCCCCCGTTTGCAGGGATCCCGCCTCGGGAGTTGGAGCCATCGCGGACGACATCGTCACTCGGGATGACCCCTTCCCTCTCGCCCCCCCCCCCTCGGCGAGGACCGTCAATAGGCCTCGTCGGCGAGGACCGTCATTAGGCCTCACACCCCTCGCAGCTTCCATCACTGGGGCTGCGGGGTTCCTGCTCCCACCAGTCAACCTTCAATTTTGCCGTCAGTAAGCGCCGGAGGGGGCCAACCCTCCCTACGGTCCCTCGGCCAATGAAGACGGCCGTAGGGGGGGGGGGGACCTGCACCTCCACCTCAAGGCACACATGTGCCACCACCTTCTACCAGAGGCGTCCATTGCCACCCAACACTCCTATCCTCCTTCGACCACATCCTCCTCCTCCCTCTCCTCCTCCTCACTCTCCTCCTCCTCCTCCTCCTCCTCCTCCTCCTCCTCCCTCTCCTCCCTCCTCCTCTCCTCCTCCTCCTCCTCCTCCTCCTCCTCCTCCTCCTCCTCTTCCTCCTCCTCTCCTCCTCCTCCTCCTCCTCCTCCCTCCTCTCTCCTCTCCTCCTCCTCCTCCTCCTCCCCCCTCTACTGCGCACCCCATTTCTCACCTCCCCCTCCTCCTCCTCCTCCTCCTCCTCCTCCTCCTCCTCCTCCTCCTCCTCCTCCTCCTCGGGTGCGGATCGTGGCGGCAAGCAAGTGGCTCGAAGCGAGAACCACGTGCTCTGCAGGCCTGCCGGTTCGCCGGATTCGGGGCGGCGCCAACCCTGCCGGGAGGAAGCTGGATTGCGGACGGCACGCTGCGTGCTCTTGCGGGAGGGGGGGGCTCTTGCGGGAGGGGGGGGGGGGCGGTCTGGATGCGCCGACCGCGAGGGGCGGCACGCGTAATGAAAGAACAACGACGGAGCACGGCCGCGGCTGAGAAGGGGGGGGGCGGTCTGGATGCGCCGAGCGCGAGGGGCGGCACGCGTCATGAAAGAGCAACGATGGAGCACGGCCGCGGCTCGGATGATTTGTTGCGCTCGTGGCCAGGTGTTGGTTCTCTTTATGGAGCACAACCTGATCCTAGATAGCCTCCTCGATAATCCGCATTTCTGCGGGTGTGGCGAGACCCTCTGGCAAGAGGGCAACCCCGCTTGACAAGGATACATGTTGTACCATGCGTTAAGTTATCTCGGATCTTCAGGTTTAGACGCGTCCAGACACTTGTAAACAGGGGGCGATGCGGGGAAGAAAGGTAGACGGTGCGCATGGAGGAGGACGAAGAGAGGGAAGAACAAGAGGAAGGAAAAAGAGGATGCAGAGGGCAGAGGTCGTGTGAACGGCGGGAGGGGCGTCGGATGGGTTTCGCATTTGGCGATTGCCACGTGCACCGTGGTGGATTTGTTACAAGTGTACCAGGCATTCGCCCATGTGTCCTTTGCAGCTGAGGTTTGAACGGTTATGTGAGCTCCCTCGTGTCGGGTCCACGTAGCACCATCGGGGAGACAGCAGGAATGCAGGTGAAACGAGGAAGATACATGACGCTGCAGGTGTATATCGTAGCCGACCCGCAGCTCACCCAAATCTTCCACACCATTACAATTTCGGACGCATTTCACAGTGAACGTACCGCGTGTGAAATCCTTGCCCCTCCCCAATTCCGTCCTCTGGAAGGGCGTTTCGACGAGTTGGGGGGAAGGCGGTACCCAGGTGGTTCCCCGGGAAAAATCTTGCGTCCAAAACTACCCAATTACCTCGTAGAGCTCTTCGGCAGCGATGAGCTAGAGGAATTCCGAGGCGGGGTGGAGCTAGTTGGTCCACCCAGCCCGGGCGGACAATGTGGGAACTTTGGGTCGGTTGGGCGAACGTTGTGAGAGATTTGACCATTCGTTTCAGGAAAATCAGTTTTCATTCCCTGCAGTCGATCATGGCGCGTTTCATGGTGCAATTCTCAGGGCTGTGGCTGCAGCACAGCTCTCGAAAATTAGGAGCAACCGTCGGCCGTCGGAATGCATTTTTCCAGATGATAATGGCTTCGCGAACTTAACTGAAGCAGGAAGCAAGCTACACAGCGCCAGTATTTATTGCACCTGTAGTAGGTTATGGCGCAGCGGGCTGCCGAATTCTCAGGTCCGCAGCTGTGGCATTACTATCAAAACACTTGGCGAAATCAACTTCGTATAGAAACCAAAAAATACATGATTCGAGTTTCTAAGCTGATATTCGAACAAGCTTCCTCGTCGTATTCTGAGCACTTTGCGTGTCAAGAGCTCTACGAGGGCCCCGGCGGTAACCTGGTTGACGGTTTACCGCCGGCACCCAGTGCCTCAAAGCCTCACCTTGCTCCAGATGACCTCAAAGATCGCACATGATGGTCGAACTTGGTTCAAGATGGCCTCCAACCTGCGTCCAGCAGGCCCCAATACGGCCCAACGACGGCTCGAGGCTGCCAGTGCGCTCCCCAACAGCGCCCCCGAGACGCCACAATCGGCAAACAGTCATTCGGTGTTTCTGCGATTGTTGCACGGAGAGTTGTTCTGTACAAGATGGTTTCGGGAGCGCGTCAGACGGCTCCCAAACAGCCCCAGAGCGCCCGACGAAAACCCCGGGACGGGCCAAGACGACAACACGGCCTCAAGACGGCAGATCAAGAGGCCAAAGACGGCACAAGAGAGCCAAAACGTTCCGACAGGACGTGAGGACGGCCCAGGAGGGCGCCAGGACAGTACAAGAAGGGGTGGGACCTTTTTGCGCGTCCCGCGGTCACGCAGCACCAAGAGGCTTCAACGACAACGCGCACGTCCCGAAAGCGCGACGGGCCCGGCTGGGAAGAGAGGCCTCATTCTTGGCACTGCTGCCTGGGCAGCCCACGCAATCCCAGTGAAGATCTGTCTCATCTCTGCCCCTGCTGTCCAGCTTGGGCAGGCGAATACAGTCGGGGCGCTGAGGAAGGAACCCTTTCCGTTGGGAAGGGGCTCCGTGTTCCTTAATTGTTTCACAGGTTGCCTGAGGTTGTCCTTCAGTTTTCAATGGAAAATCGAAGTTTGACTTGTGGAAGAAAGCAGCCTCGTTCCTTACTGGGGATTCCTTAGGTCAGCGCCCCGACTGTATGGTAATACGGCGGCGTGGCGAAAGCTCCTTGGAAACTCCGAGGGGCCGCTGACGTACCAAACTGGCATCAGCCCCCCCCCCCCCCCCCCCCTAGAATCTTAACAAGAAGAGCAAGCCAAGCATGTCGGTCTTCCCCTCCCCCTTCCCCCCGTTCCCCTTCCCGCTCCTTCCCTCCTCCCCTCCTTCCCCTCCTTCCCCTTCCCCTCCTTCCCCTTCCCCTCCGTCCCCTTCCCCTCCTCCCCCTTCCCCAAACTGGCATCAACCTCCCCCTTCCCCCCCTAGAATCCTAACAAGAGGAGCATTGTCGGGATTCCCCCAGCGGCGGGATACTTAGGTCCTTGGGCTCCTGGTACTCACGTGCGAAACTTTTGCCCAAGGGCCGTCCCGATGTTACCATTCGGTGATTTCGGGTCTTTGCGCTTCAGAGGGAACTCTTGTCACGGCGAAGTTCGCCGGCCCAACGGGCCAAAGGCGTGCTAAGATCTCCGGTAACGGGTTAAGAATATTTCTACTTCGCGCGCACGTGGCGGCCCCTGGGAACCCTTGGACGACAAGTACACCGGCCGATGCCCGGGCGATGCCCGGCTGACTCCCCCAGGGCGCTCCAGGATCGGGTCGGGCGAAAGGGGGGGATAGCAAAGGGGGGGTTTGAGAATCAGCTCGCGTAGCTGATTTTCCCGGCGCCTCCCGGCGCCGAAGGCGACCATATATCGAGGAATGGGCCCCTCGGTAAAGCCGAAACCAGCTGCATGCAGCAAATTTCGTAACCCCCCCTTTCCCAATCCCCCCCTTTCGCCCGACCCGACAGGAGCGCGCCGAGATGGCGCAGGGACGCCCCCCACACGGCCCAAGAGGCCCCGCGTCGCCGAAAGACCGTTCAAAGACGTTCAAAATGGTCTCCAGATGGCCCCAGAGGCCACGAACAAAAGCTTCAAGCGAGCCTCGAGAGGCTCTCCAAGAGGGCCCTAACAAGCAGAAGTCGTCCCATTCCCTTCGGAAAACGTACGTGTGTCGCATGTACGACGTTTGGGGGTTCACAGCGTTCAGAACTGCCCCAGAGGCCTCCAACATTGTCCCCAGACGGCACAACACGCCCCCAAGACGGGCCCAACAGAGCCTAAAAGGGCTCCAAAATGGCCCCAGAGGCCCCCAAGATCGCCCAAGAGGGCTCAAAGAGAGGCCCAAGAGGGGGAACACGAACCACCAATTCGAGCCTTCCGCCCCAAGAGGCCCCCAGGAGGAGGACCCCAAGAGAGCCCAGACGGCCCCCTGGAGGCCCCACGAGGCGCCCAAGGTGCCCAAAAAGAGGCCCCAAGAGGCCCCCAAACGGCTCCCAAGATGCCCCAAGAGGTCACGAACGCGCAAGCAAACGGCTGCGATGGCACAACACGGGCCGGCAGAATGAGAAAAGCGAAAAAATAATCTGGGGGGACCGAAATGTACCGATTGCAATACTCCCCAGACCTCCCCCGGGATGCGTTCTGGCCAGAACTTCGAGGCGAATCCAGCGGTGGCGACGGGGGCCTCCCAGGAGGCCCAAAAAGCGGAAAACGAGGGAAGGGTAACCTTTTCCCTGTCTGGGTAATCAAATGGTTTCGGGCAGGTGGCGGTGGGGGGTGACCCACATGGGCGGGGAAGAGAAGGGCCCTAAAGGGGCCCTTCGGTGCCCTTCCCTGCACGCCAGGCTGCCCCCCCCTTTCCAGCCGCCCGATGCTCACGAGACGAGCTCCTGCGCCGCTGCCCAGGACGGCGGGCTCGTGTGGCCAGCGGCGGCCGGCTCTCGGGCGATGGGCTCCTGCTGCCCCTCTCGCCCCGTCCCCCGCCCGGGGCCGGAGCAGAGGAAAGGCAGGGCGCGGCCAGGGAGGGCCTGCCGCCGGCCGTGGCAGGAGGAGTCCGCGAGGCGCACGGTGAAGCGCGCCGCAGGGCTAGTGGCAGAGCTGATGGTGAGGATGCCCTGGTGAGGGTGGCGAGAGGGCCCCGGGAGGCCATGCCGACACTTTTCCAGCGGGGCGCGGCCAAAGAAAGTGGCCAAGGATGGGCCGAAGGGAAAGGATGCCGGGAAAGCCCTGGGAAGTCGCCTATCCTTACTGTCAGCGTTGACTGTAAACGGGGGAACTGACTGCACAAAGGCATTGCTGGAGGGGGCACGAGAAAGAGCGGGAGAGAGAGAGAGAGAGACAGAGAGAGATGCCACATGCTTGCTTCGCACTCGCACAGTCACAGACCAACGACAGAAGCGTGGCTTTGTCCACAGGACGCAGCCCCATGACTGATGTTTTCATGCCGACGTCAGAACCTCACCTGAACCACACCTGGCACAACTTTTGCAGCATGGTTCGGAATCTCGCTGGCAGTTGGCCATCAACAAGGGGGCAAGTGGATCTCGCCAACTCGCCGGGTATGCCCCGCGGCATCCCTGAGGTGCCTCTGAAGAGCCCCCATGTTTCCAAAACGCCACGCGCGCATGACTTTTGTCAACACCCTTGAGCGGACCCGAAACATCGAGTCAACGATCAGGTTATCAATTGGCGGGTTTGGTAGGATTGGCTGTGGGGGATCTCATCTCGCTCAGATTCCCGATCCGCTGGAATCTCGGCTGGATGGCCATCCGAACAGGAGGACTTTTCCTAGCTGGGCCGAACTAGCTGCCCCAGCACGAGCATGAACCCTGAACCTTGAACCCGTCCGACACGCACCAACCACCCACCATCGACCAGCAGCAACCAGCACCCGCGAGAGAAGGTTGCAGCCGATGAGGAAAGGGAGAAACACACAATGCCCTCGTACCGACTGCTCCCTACTGAAGACGTCGTCCGCCCGCTGAGCACGATCGCCACAACCTCAGGATTGCAGAACGGAGCGGCCCGGGGCATCTCCTGACCCATCGCAGACTGTTCCAGGGTTGCCCTGCCAATCCTTCTCCCCCCACCGCCTCCCCTTCCGCGGCCTCGCGCCTCCGCGTCCTTTTTTTCATCTAGGGCTCCCAACTTCGCGCTTCGCGCTGCGCGAAGCGCGAAGCGCGAATAACTTCGCGCTCTCGCGCCGCCCCCCCAAAGGGACAAAAGGAGGACGAGGAGGAGGGGGAGGAGAAACGAGGACCGCGAAGCGCGAAGCGCGAATAACTTCGCGCCCTCGGGGGAGCCCTTGGTTCCAGGGTTGCCCTGCCAATCCTTCTCCCCCCACCGCCTCCCCTTTCCGCGGCCTCGCGCCTCCGCGTCCTTTTTTTCATGGGCGCCCTGGGCTCGCCGTTGGCGCGGGGAGAAGTCGCGGCGGAGCGACTGGCCACGGCCATGATATGTTCGGGGGAAAACAAACCTACCTCGCTTTTGACCACCCTCGCTTCCAAGAGATACCAAACGATGCCAAATTGCGGCCTGTACTGGTCAGGCCGCTTGACGAGGAGGCGCGTGGTATGGCTTGGTTTTGCCTGGAAGCGAAAGCGGGGGAGGTAATTCACGCTCTGATATGTTTCTTGCTATGTGCTATGTCCTGCTGCGGGACGGCAAATCTCGGCTAAGGCGATCCCATCCCTCGCGCGCCCGCGAGCGCGTCCGCGGCGCAGGCGATTGGGATTTGGGATTCGCCTGGCCGTCCCGCCAGCAGGACGCGCGTTTTGCGGGTCGCCTGCCCTACTCTTCGCGCAGATTCCCACTCCCCGCCCCCCCCTCCCGCGCGCGGTCGCCGCTGCGCAGGTCCCAGTCCCACTGTAGGTGGGCGGGCCTGGTCCCTCGGAGGGTTTGCCGCTGCTGCCTGCCGTCTGCTTGCCTCCGCGCGCGCCCTGGCCCTCGCCGCGCCGTCCTCCTCCTCTGGGCAGGTTCCGATTCCCCCCTCTTCCAGGGCGCGGGGTCTCTTCCGCGCGCAAGTTCCTTTCTCCTCGCCTCTTCCTTCGCAGGTACCTGTTTTCCTCGTCGTTTTGCCAGGCTTGGATGCCAGGACAGCGTTTCTTTTCGCACAGAGCGAACTGTGCCGCTTCTATGCGTGGTGGCGCGCGGGTGCATCACCCAATGTTGAGCGATCGCTTGCGAGTGCGCCGCATGCCGGCATTAGTGTTGCGCAGTATGCCTGCGGAAATACGGCAGTATGCCTGCCTGCGGGCGCGCCGTATGCCAGCCCCGTCCTTGATCAGTATGCATGCAAGCTCGGTAGTATGCCTGCCCGTGTGTGTGCGCCGCATGCTGGTCACTGTCTTGCGCAGTATGCCTGCGAAAGCACGGCAGTATGCCTGCCTGTGGTCACGCCGTGTGATGGCCTCTGTCTTGTGCAATATGCCTGCGGAAGTGTGGCAAGATGCCTGCCTGTCCATGCGCCGCATGCCGGCCCCCAGCCTTGCGCAGTATGCCTGCACAAGTGCGGCAGTATGCCTGCCCGTGCGCGCGCCGTATGCCAGCCCCTCTTCTTGCGCAGTATGCCTGCGAATACGGGGTCGCGTTTCATTATCATCGGCGATGACAGGCGTCATAGGGGGAGGGGCGGGGAAGGGGTATGACGTAACGTCCCCCCCCCGCCGTGCGGCTCCGGCACCACAGCCGCGCCCGCGCGCACGACGACGATGAGCGACGAACGACGAGCGACGAGCGACGACGACGACGATAACGACGACAACGCGAGCAGCATGTAGGTGGCGATCTGTCCCACAGCGCCTGTGTACACCACAGTGCTCGCGTGCACCACAGCGCTTGTGTACACCACGGCGCCTGCGTACACCGCAACAACTGTGTGCAACGCAGCGCCTGTGTACACCACAGTGCTTGCGTGCACCAGAGCGCCGGTGTCCACCACAGCGAATGTGCACACCGCAGCAGCCATGTGCAACACAGCGCCTGTCTACACCACAATGCTTACGTGCACATAGCGCCTGTGCACACCACAGCGACTGTCTACACCACAGCAGCCGTGTGCAACGCAGCGCTGGTGTACACAAGAGTGCCGGCGTGCACAGGACAGGTAGAAGGAGCATGTCGGTGAGGATCTGCCGCGGACAGCTAAACGCTACGCCAGGGAAATGCTGAGAATAGAATGCGACGTTTGTCCCTCCTCCCTCCTCCACCTCCGCCTCCACCTCCTCCTCGTCCTCCTGCTCCTGCTCCTCCTCGTCCTCCTCCTCCCCCTCCTCCTCCTCCTCCATCATCCTTCCCCCCCTGTAGTGCGGGTCGGCACTACAGCGCACGTGCGCGTCTCAGCGTGCACCGCAAAATGGTACATTGACTGGTGCCGTGCTGAGTGCACGCAGGCATTATGGTGTACACTGGTGCTGTGTTGCACACGGCTGATGTGGTGTACGCAGGCGCTGTGGTGTACACAAGCGCTGTGGTGCCAGCAGGCACTGTGGCACACACTGGCGCTGTGATGCACGCGGCTGCTGTGGTGTACATAGACGGTGTGGTGTACACAGGCGCTGTGGTGTACGCAGGAACTGTAGTGTACACAGGCGTTGTGGTGCAGATCGCCACCGACATGCTGCTGCTACCCGTCCTCGGTGATTCCTAAGCATTTCCAAACGCCGCAGGCGCGAAACGTGACGTCATCGGCCCCCTCCACCCCCCCCAGATGATTGCCGTCATCGGCCTGGAATTTAAAACAAATTATCCCAGTGCGACCCTACCTAGGAGTTGGAACCCCTAGGAAAGCAGCATTAGTAGTAACAGTAAGCTAAGCTAAAGCTAAGCTAAAGCTAAGCTAAAGCTAAGCTAAAGCTAAGCTAAAGCTAAGCTAGCTAAGCTAAGCTAAAGCTAAGCTAAAGCTAAGCTAAAGCTGAGCAACAGCTAAGCTAAAGCTAAGCTACAGCTAAGCTAGAGATAAGCTAAAGCTAAGCTAAAGCTAGCTAAAGCTAAGCTACAGCTAAGCTAGAGATAAGCTAAAGCTAAGCTACAGCTAAGCTCAAGCTAAGCTAAAGCTAAGCTAAGCTAAGCTAAAGCTAAGCTAAACGCTAAGCGGAAAGCTAAGCGAAACGCTAAGCTAAAGCTAAGCTACAGCTAAGCTAAAGCTAAAGCTAAAGCTAAAGCTAAAGCTAAAGCTAAAGCTAAAGCTAAAGCTCCCAGGGGACTGGGGGGGAACCGCGGGGCGGGGACTGGGTGAACCGCCCGGGGCGCTTTCCACTGCCCGGCCCCTTTAAGCTAAGAGAGTAAGAACCCTTCTAGGCAGAGCCTAGGTAGGGAAAAAAAACAAAAAAGAACAGAAACAAAACAACAGGCTCCAGCTGCGCCCGTGCGCACGACGACGATGAGTTACGAGCGACGAGCGACGAGCGACGACGACGACGACGACGACGACGACGACGACGGCGGCGGCGGCGGCGACGACGACGACGACGACGACTGCGGATCACACTCCGATGCAGAATTCTATGCGGACACCTATGCGGATCACGATGCGCACGGCGGCAGTGCCCGCAACGCACTGGGGGGGGAACGTTACGTCATAGGGGGGGGGCCTGGCCGGGGGCCATGACGCCCGTCATGCCCCAAACAATAAAGAAACGGGATCCGGCAGCATGCCTGCCCGTGAACATGCTGCATGCCAGCCCTGGTCCTACGCAGTATGCCTGCGAGCGCGGTGGAATGCCTGCCGGTCCGCGCGCCAGATGCCGGCAATATTTTTGCGCGGCGCTCCTGCGAGCGCGCCCGCGCGCCTGGCCGCGCGCGCGTCGCGTGCCTGCGAGTGGCCCCGCGCTCCTGTGCAAGCGCAAGGTTCAGCATTGCCTCGGCGAGCACTGCCCAGGACGCGCGGCTGAAGATGACGTTCTCGCGCGAAAGCATCGTCGAATTGCTTGGCAGCCTGCCGGCGGGCGCGTTCGGCACCGAGAAGACCGCCATACAGGCGCGGGCGCGTTCTCCAGCGCGCGCGCGGGGATCGGATCCCGCCGCCCCGGCCAGCCAGCGCCGATCGGCCGCGCGAGGCGGATCTGACCCTCTTCACCACGGAGGCGAACGCGAGTGGGGGGGGACGAGGCAGCGCCGTCGCCTGCCGTGCTGCTCCCGCGCGCCGCGGTCGCACGCCCGATGGCCGAAACGTCTGGGGCGGTCCGGCCGATCGACCCCTCGGACGCGTCCAACTATCAAGCCAGGCGCGAAGCCCTTCGCGGGCGACCGAGCCGCGGAGTAGAGAGATTCCGCCAGCACGCCATGCCACATGAATACAGCGTTGCGCGCGTAAAGACAAGCACCGAGGGAGTCCGGGGCCGCAGCCTCCTCCATCCATCTGCCGTTTGCGAACGGTGGCGGGGCGGGCGCGCACCGCGGCGCCAGGGCGAAGTGTCGTCGGCCACCGCGGCGACGGCAGCGCAGCCAGCGGGAGAGACCGAGCGGATCGCGGCGGCCATGGGAAGTAGCTCCAAGGCCAGCCGTGATAAGATTACGTGACACGTGCGATGTTGGATGCTATGCAAGACAAGCCGTTGACTTTTGCCATGGAGGCGCGCGTCGAGACGCGCGGGCGACCCCGCGGCGGCACCGCCGCGCGCCCGCAGGACCGCGGGAAGGAGGTTTGGCTCGGCAGCTTCCCCCGCGAGGGATTGCCGATCGAAAAATCATTGCGTAGGTGAGCGGCAGCGAGCCGCGCGGGCTCAGGAACACGGTCGCGCGTGCATCGGGAACGCCGAGGGCGAGAGTCCACAGACGGTCGCGCTCGCCAGCGCGAGCCCGAAATCCCGAAATACGCCGCAGCTTGTCTGTCCCGCGACGGAACATTGCAAGCCCCAGTGGGCGTGGACGCACAAGCTCGACTCGGTGCTAGCGGGCGCGGCCCTGGACCGCAGAGATTTCCTCGGGCATGCGCGCGTTCAGGTCGCGCGCGCGGTCGCCGCGCCCCCCCCCGCCCGCGGGAAGGGAACCTGCCCCTGTCGTGGAATGGGGCAGTGTACGCGCTGTGCTGGCTTGCGCGGATGAGCGCCCAGGACGGGCCAAGCCCAGGGGCAGCGGACATGTATAGATCTCGTCGTTCTACCAGGGACGACGGAAACGGGAGCCCGCCGCCGCGCCTCTCGGCTGCGTCGCTGCCCGTGCGGTCGAAGGCGCTCGTGCAGGTGGTGAGGCGGCGGTAAACGCAGCCATCGGAAGCGAGGACGTGGACGCGGACGTCACGGGACTGGGGCAGGGGGCGGCTGCTTGCGCAGCCAACGGGCGCGGCGGCAACGGCATCACCGTTGCAGGACGACGATCGGGCGGTCCAACTGGTGGTAATGTCAGCTTGTGATTAACGAATCCGCGGGGGGCGCGTGTTTAAAACAAATGTTTCCCCTGCCCGGGCGAATCGCGGGGTGGCGCCCGCCAGATTGAAAATCATCGGCGGCGGCGCCAGTGATTAGCGCTGACGCCCAGCCGCCAACGGGAAGGCGACAAACAGCACAAACTGGGGGAGGGGAGGGGGGGCGGGAGGCAAAGGCGGCAGAAGAACGGACCTTGAGCCAGGGCGACACCTGTTCGAAATGAAGAAGAACTGCTGTCGGCGCTCGCCCCGCACTTTCCGTGCTCTTTTCTGTCGAACGGGCGTGTTTCTTTTACCCTGGCCGCAAACAGGGGGGCGCCAGCTGCCCCGCGGGCCCGTGAACAAAGCGGGTTGGGCGGAAGGGGGGCGTGGCCAAGCGGGAATTTGCCCAGCAGCTCACGTTGTTGAAATTCCGAACTCCCCCCAGCGCCGAAAGCGACCATGCATCGAGGACTGGCCCCTCGGCGGGGCGACCGAAACCAGCTGCGCGCAGCAGGTTTCGCAACCCCCCTTTCCTTCCCCAGCATTTCGTCCGACCCGAGCAAAGCGGGCAGTCCTCCTCCCCCCTGCTGTCATGGTCTCTGTAGCCGACGACGACGAAGACGACGACGAAGCGACGACGACGACGCGACGACGACGACGACGATGACGACGACGACAACGACGACGACGACAAGGACGACGAAGAAGACGACGGCGACGACGGCGGCGACGACGACGACGACGCCTGAGAATGGAAAAACAAATTCGCCTCGGATGTGTACGACCCCATATAACAACTTCTATACCAAAGGCAATCGTTTTTGAGGCCGCCATGCAGGGGGGGTGCACGATCCCCTCGGCGGCGCCACCGACGGCCCCCTGGCGCGCGTGATTAAAAAACAATGGTTCGCGCCCCGCGGGGTCTATTCATCAGCCCCGGGGCGGGGGTGGGGGCCCGGCCATGCGTGAATCACACGCTGACATTGCTCCCGCGCGGCGGCGAGGACCTGGGACCACGGGCAACGATCGATGCCGCGGAGCTCCGTGGCCTCCCCTGGAAGGCCGCGAACAACTGCCGGCACCATCGGGATGGGTGCCCCCCGCCTGGCATCCCCCTGGGCCAGGTGCACGGGGCCCTCCACCGGTTTGGCGTCCTGGCCCTGGGCTGCACGTGCCGAGCCGATGGAGCGCACGAGCGCAGGCCCGCCCCCCAGAGGCCGCGGAGCGCGGCCAGACAGCGCACTGTGCGAACGGGCATTTCTGGGAAACCGGGAAGCAGTCCTCCTGCAGTCGGGGACTTCTGCTCGGCGTGTTGCGGCGGCGGCCCTGGCGAGGCCATAGCTGCCCTGCCAGCGTCGGGGAGACGTAAGACCCGGGTACGGGGGACTCGGAAATCCCCGACGAGGTCGTCAAAAAAATGACGAGGCCGAGCCTGCATTTTGACGAGGCCTCCCGCTGCAGACATCCCACGAAACTCCTCCTCGTCAAAATCCGAGGCGCGGTCGTCAAAAAACGATGGCGAACCCGAGTCCCGGCAAACCCGGGTCTTACGCTCCCCCGACAGCGGGCAGCGTGTTGCACTGCTCCGCGGCCCGGCTCGGGGCGTTGACGCCTGGGAGGCCGGGCAGCGGATGGCGTGTCGCGCCGCAGCGCGGTGGGCCAGAACCGGCAAAGCGACACGCTATCCAAAAATGACCGACCGTTCTCCCCGGACACCCAGAGTGCCGACTTTTGCAAGACACGGGGACACGGGCCCCCGACCTCTCGACCACTTCCACAAGAGCTGTTCTTCATCCCGATTCGTCCTCTGACGGTCCCGAAGCCCGGGGAGGGTCCCGAGGGGCCGAAAACGATGAAACACCCTTGTCTCGATTCTCTCGAAACGCCAGAGGTCTGGGTATCGCTGCGACGGCGACGGCGACGACAGAAACGGCGGCGGCGGCAGCGTCGACGTCCCCTGGGTTTACGTTGTTCCCATCGCACTTAAGGACCGCATTCCAGAAATAATTTCGAGCACCAGAAAACATAGATCGAAACAGTGCCTTCCCGACTCGCTGGCGAAGTGTCTACGAGCATCGCTTCCCAGGGCCCGAAACGTGAAAACCCTCCGGTTTCGAGGCTGACTTGGTGAGTCACTCTGGTGCTGAAGGCTCAAGCAGGCTGGAACATCCTAACCACTGGGGGGATCCCCGCGCACGTCCTGCTGCCGCCCGTGCGGCGAGCCTGGCGAGCCCGGTGCGCCGCGCGCGCCCTGGCGAGCCTGGGGGCCTGGCGAGTCTGGCGGGCCGCCGCTCGCCGCCGCCGCCGCCCGCTGCGCTGCCTCGCTCCAGCCGCCGTGCACGCTGGCCGCGGTGAGCACCTCGAGGCGCATCGGCGACACCCCACCATGCTTGACACTGTGTGTGTGTGTGCGTCGCCCCTCCCAGGGGGCGCCGCGCGCGCCGAGAAATCGTGTGGTACGACCTCCGTGGCGGGCGCTTGCTGGCCATACTCAGCGGGAAACGAAACACTGCAAGATGGTTACTCTACATTTCGGGTCGGACGCACGCCTCCAAGGCAGACGTACAGTACTAGTCGGGGTGATATCGAATTGGGATGGAGAGCCCCCCACCAGGAAATCGGTTTCGGTTTCGGGTCCGTGTCGCGCGTGCGGGTGAGGCGAAGCTGCGTGGGCGGGCGAGAGGAATGACTCCGCTGTGGCTAGAGCGGGTTAAGAGCCGTTGACCGCCCCTCCTCCCTTCCCGGTGGGCGGGCGGTGGTCGGGTTGTCCCGCCGTGGTGTCCGGTCATTGTCCCGTCGGTGTCACGTTGGTGTTCGGTGGCTGTCCCGTCGCTGTCCCGTCGGTGCCCAGTTGGCTGTCCAGTCGCTGTCCCGTCGGTGACCCGTTGGTGCCACGTCTGTGACCCATCGGCCCATCGGTGTCCTGTCAGTGTCCCGTTGCGATCGATCGTGAGATTGATAGTGAAACCGATAATGAGATCGATTGTGAGATCGATTGGTGCCCCGTTGGTGTCCCGATGGTACCCCGTGGTGTCCTGTCGCTGTCCCGTCGGTGTCCCGCGGGTGTCCCGTTGGTGTCCTGTGGTGCCCCGTGGTGAGATCGATGGTAAGACTGATAGTGAGATTCGTAGTGACATCGGTAGTGAGAGCGGCAGCGAGATCGATAGTGAGATCGATCGAGTGAGATCGAGCGAGTGAGATCGATAGGGAGATCCAAAACGAGATCGATTGGTGTCCCGATGGTGTGCCGTCGGTGTCCCGTGGTGTTCCGTCGGTGTTCCGCCAGTGTCCTGCGGGTGTTCCTGCGAGTGTCCCGTCGGAGTCCCGTCGGTGTCCCGTGGTGTCCTGTGGTGTCCTGTGGTGAGATCGATTGTGAGATCGATCGTGAAATCGATAGTGGATCTCTAGTGAGATCTAGAGTGAATTCAAAAGTGAAATCGATCGAGTGAAAGGGATGATGGGATCGATCGAGTGAGTCCGATAGCGAGATCGATAATGATATCAATCGTGAGATCGATGGTGACCTGATGGTGTCCTGATTGGTGCCCCGATTGGTGTCCAGATTGGTGTGGTGATGGTATCCTGGTGGCGTTTCGATGGTGTCTCGGTTGTGTCCTGGTGGTGTCCCGATAGGTGCCGCGAGTGGTGTTCCGATGGTGTCCCGATTGGTGTCCCGAAGGGTGTCCTGATTGTGTCCTGGTGGTGTTTCGATGGTGTCTAAGTCCTGGTGTCGATGGTGTTTTGATTGTGTCCTGGTGGTGTTCCGATGGTGTTTCGATTGTGTCCTGATTGTGTTCTGGATGTCCATAGTGAGACTTGGGTGGGGGATCGCAGCGAACCCGATACGCGAAACAATTTTCAATGTCAGCATCGCCAGCCACGGGATCGACTCTGATATTGAGCGAACGATTGGTGTCCCGTCGGTGTCCCGTCGGTGTCCCGATGGTGTCCCGATTGGTTTCCCGGTGGTGTCCGATAGACACACACACACGTCCGGCCAAGCGATTTCACTTGTGGCCGCGAGCGTCCCGAGGCAAAATAAATGACACCACGAAAGGTGGTCGTCAGTTGGTTCTTTCTCCCCCCAGCCAACCTCCTTGTTCCCCGAAGGGTGGCCGTATAGCGATGTCCTGGTGTGTCCTCGGTGGACACCTCGAGACCCAGACCTCCGGCGTCCCGAAAACATGGAGACAACTCGATTAGATCGGCTACAGAATTGACTTATCCCGAACTTGAGAAATTTGCAGAATCTTGGAAAGAAAATGCGCAGAACGTTTGTAGATCTACGAGCACTCCATGTATGCTGTAAAGAATCGAACTGAAAAGTAAGTTTGGGGTAAATCAATTCTGTAATCTATTCCCTACTCGAACATCGGTTTCTCACAATGTTCGGCCTATCGGGACCGTCCCTGGGCCCGGAGGCTGTCAAGAAACGACTCGGGATGAAAAACCGGTCCCAAGGGAGTGGTCGAGAAATCGGGGGCCCGTGTCTCGAAAGAATCGGTCGGTTCTGGGCAAAGGGGGTCTTTCGTAATGGGGCCGCAGACCACACAAAAAATATGTATTTCATCCTGTGGCGCATGTCGCGTGGCAGCCGCACGCTGGTTTTGAGGCGACGTGCGAATCCCGCACTAACGATTGCGCAAACAATTGCGCAAATGTTTTAGACCCCATTCTGCAAGGACCCATCCGATCGAATCCGAATCGAGACGCTGGGTGTCTGGGGAGAGCGCGCAGGCAGAAGAAGGGGACCCGCACACGTAAGGAAGGCCAGGCCGTCCGCGGGCCCTTCCCGCGCCAGCGCCAGGGCCCCCTCCTCCAGGCATCGGAAAAAGTTAGCGAGCACTCGTGCCACACTCATCTGAGCGACGATCAGACACGGGTCTTACGAGAGGTGACATACAGTCGGACTTGATTGGACAGGACACGCGAGAGACCACAAGACCCTTCCGAGGGCCACGTTTCCATAGGAACGCAGGGGGCATGGGTCGCGAGACACAGGACACAAGGGTAACCTTGATTTGGCAGGGCCGACCTACTAATCGGGGCCGACTGTAGCGACCTTACGCCGCGGGTTACGCGGGCCGCCGGCGCGGCACGCCACACTAGACACAAGGGCGTTCACGCGGAACCTGAGGCGGGCAGCTTACGCGCCAATGTCGGTGAAGACGACCCCCTTTTTTTCGTCGCTCATCTCTCAGTATCCCCCCAAGACCAGCGTTGGCGGTGGATTGAATCACATGCGCTTCGACCGCAGTCTTCCCCGCGCGTGCCGACTTTGAATTGTGGGGAGAGGGGGAGTGTCCACTGATTGTTCCCCTCTGCCGTAGCACCCCCGAGTGGCGCAGCCCGGGGGGAGGCGCTCTGCGCGCCTCGGGGGGCTGTGCAGGGAGAGGCCTGGCGCAGGCGGGGGAATCGGCCGCGGACGACCGATGTTCATGCTGGCCTGGCTTTCTGGTCCTCGAACCTCGTCCCAGTCCAGCTGTGGGGAGCCCAGCGCCCTGCCGGCGTCTGCCTGGGGGGGCCCTCGCCACCTTCGCCGCCGCCGTCGCTGCTGTGGTCGTCGTCGCCGCCGTCGTCGCTGCCGCCGCGCCATCGTCTGCCGCCGTTGCTGTCGCCACTGCCGCCGCCTCCGTCTTCGTTGTCGCCGCCGCCATCGTCGTCAAGGTCATCATCGTCGTCGTCGTCGCTGCCAATATTCTCGTCGCCATTCTGGTCGTCGTCGCCGTCCGCAGCCGTCTACGTCGTTGCCGCCGCCGCGCCACTGACGTCGGGGTCGTTAACGTCGTCAAAGTCGTCGTTGCCAACATCGTCATCGTGGTCGTGGTCGCCGTCCCCAGGAGCATGCATGTTTTTGCAAGTTGCCCTGCCCATGACGCCACGCAAACTTACAAATTACTGTGGAGAGCGGCCGTCCAGTAGAATGGGGCCCCATCCATGGGTACCGCAGCGACGCTCAAGTTCAGAAACTTCACACTTCGGCGTGGCAACAGCCCTGAGAGGCGATTTGCACCTTCGGGCTTTCGGATCGTCAAAACACGAGGCCCGACCTGGCATCCGATGTCTTGAATTATTCCAATACGGGGTCCCCGGACGTCCCCCCTTTTTCCCCAGGGCTGGCTGCTCATCCAGAGCAGCGTGTCGGCGGCCGCGGGGCGGGGTTGAGAACCCCCGGAGGCCGAAGACGGCGAAGGGCCTCTGCCTCGACTTTCCGAACAAGACGCTGGATGTCTGGAGGAACATCCGAATACTCATCGATCCACCTCGCCCATCATCCTCGATCCTCACTTATCGTCCTCATCCTCTTCAATGGTCCCCCTCGATCCTCCTTCTGTTCAGCGAGCGGCCTGCACCCCCGACCGCGACTGCCCAGACCTCGGGGCTCCTCAATGGTCCTCCGTCTCCTGGGCCCTCCTCGAGCCTCGATTCCAGAAACCACCGCGTGCGTCGACTCTCCGGGGCGAGGCGACGGGCGGGAAAGCCTCTCGGGGCTGGATTCCAGGGCTCCCCGGGATGGGTTCCTCGCCCCGAACCCGTGCCCGAGAGCCCCTGGGCCCAGGGACGGGCCCCGACGGCCCCAGGAACGGGAGCAGGGGCCTCAGGACCTGCCTCCCTCGAGGACGACGCTTGGTCTCGCGTCGGAGGGATGAAGCCATACTAATCTGGATGGGAGAATAATCGCCCCCCCCTCCTTGAATGCGCCGCGGGGGTGGGCGCGCGCCGTCGGCACGGGTGGGGGGGTCGGAGGAAGAGGAGGAGGAAGAGGAGGAGGAGGAGGAGGAGGAGGAGGAATAAGGGGAGGGGGGAGGACGGAGGGGGCGGGGCTGGGCAAGCCCAATCGGGAAGTTAATCACCCTCTCGACCTCTGCTCCTCGTCGACCTCCCACAACCCTATTCCCAGATCCCCCTCACCTATCGGAATGATAGATTACATCCTCCTTCTCCTCCTCCTACTCCTCCTCCTTCGCCTCCTCCTCCTCCTCCTCCTCCTCCTCCTTCTCCTCCTCGGCCTCACCGAACGGATTGATACAGTAGATTATCAGAGGGAGGGGGCCAAACGGTCATTCAGTGTCCCTGGGTGCGTGGCTGAAGTGGCGTTCTGCGGCACGGAATGTTGTTGCTGCGATGTTTATATTGTCGTCGCCCTCGCCCGCGACCCACCCGCGACCAACCCTGCGACCAACCCCACGACCCACCCCGCGACCTATCAGCGAACCACGCGCGACCTACCCCGCGCCCGCCCCCTCACTCTTGTCCGCAACTGCGGGGTGCTATGCATCCGCCTCCTTCTCCTCCTCCTCGTTTTCCTCCCCCTCCTCCTCCTCCTCTTCCTCCTCCTCCTCCTCGTTTTCCTCCCCCTCCTCCTCCTCCTTCTCCTCCTCTTCCTCCTCCTCCTCCTCACCTATCGGACTGATTGATTCGACCCTCCTCCTCCAATCCTCTTCTTTATGAATGACTGCGTCCTGTCGCACAACGAGGCGTGTCGGTAGGGCGAGCCGGGCGTTTCACCTGAGAATTTCATCACTCGTGATCCTCGAGCTGAAGTGTTGCAGTCATTTCACGGATGGGGGGCGGGTGGTTTTCAAAATGTGGATCTCGCCTCAGCGCCGCGCACAGTCGTCTCAACAAATTGACAGAGCTTTACAGATGCAGGGCAGGCGGTCTTCAGGATGTGGCGCGCCGCGCACATGAGTCTTTAAACAATGCAGGAGCTTCGCGGATGGAGGGCGGATGGTTTTCCAGTGTGGCTCTCGCCCCAGCACCGCGCACATTCGTCTTAAGCTTTGGCAGAAGTTTCACGGATGGAGGGCGGTTCATTTTCAACTGTGGCTCTCGCCTTAGCGCCACGCACATTTGTTTTCAGAATTTACAACCCCTTCAGTAATTCTCACGGTGAACGTCCCAGGAATGGTGCTTTGGCATGATGTCGGACCGTCAGGGCGCAAGAATTAGGTTGAGTCGAGGTGTGGAAGTCCCAGGATTGGTGTTTTCGCACGGTTCATGATCGTCAAGACGCAACAGTAACGGTGAGTCGCGGCTTCGAAGTCCCAGAAATCGTCTTCTGGCGCATTTCAGCATGTTCAAACTGTTGTCTTTCAGCGGGGCACTTCCCTCAGCACAAAAAAATTAACCCTTGTAGAGGCATATGAAAGGGAAAGCTTGGAGGGAGGGTTTATCGCAAAATCGGTGACAAAGTGTTGGGTTACACTGGTCCTCCTCCTTCACGCCTCCTCCTCCTCCTCCTCCTCCTCCTCCTCCTCCTCCTCCTCCTCCTCCTCCCCTCCCTCTCCTCCTCCTCTTCCTCCTCCTCCTCTTAATCCTCCCTCTCCTCCTCCTCTTCCTCCTCCTCATCCTCCTCTTCCCCTCCCCGAACTTCCTCCGCCTCCTCCTCCTCCTCTTCCTCCTCGTCCTCCTCCTCCCGAACGCTCTGGCGCTCTTCTCCCTCCCTCCTCCTCCCTCATCCCTCCTTCCTCCTCCTCCTCCCCTCCTCCTCCCTCCTCCTCCTACTCCTCCTCCTCTCACTCCTCCTCCTCCTCCTCCTCCTCCCCTCCTCTCCTCCTCCTCCTCCTCCTCCTCCTCCTCCTCCTCCTCCTCCCTCCTCCCGTCCTCCTCCCTCCTCCTACCTCCTCCTCCTCATCGATCTTCTTCGCCCATCCGCCTCGAGGGTGGAGGAAAGATCCTCATCCTCAGGCCGCTCCCCCGTCAATCCCCGGGCCGCCGCCGGCCACGGGCGCGGGGAGTCCGGGAGCGTCTCCGGCGATACCTCCCGCCCAGGAAGGGAAGGGCTCTCCGCTTGCAACTCTTCCACCTGTCTCAGCTTGCCACTCTTCCCCCCCTGTCCTCCTCCTCCTCCTCCTCCTTCTCCTCCTTTTCCCCCTCCCCTCCCCGAGCCTCCTCCTCCTCCTCCTCCTCCTCCTCCTCCTCCCACACGCTCTGAGCGAAGCCGCTGACCGACGACGGCGACCTCCTACTCCTTCAGTCGCGCGTCAGAGCTACCGTGTGGGCGCGCGCAGCCGAGCTTAAGGTGTCCCGTGCCCTCGCGGACCCAGAGCTTTGCGGCAGTTGCACTCGACCTCTGGACATCGTCCGAATCGTCCGACTCCCTCCCGCCTTCCTCCTCCCTCTGGCCTTCTTTTCTCCCCCTTCCTTCCCGCATCCTCCCCCAAGGTCTCAGAGGGCCGCTTCTAACCCAGCGGGTCGCGCTCGCGCCGTCCCCGAGGACAGGGGCATGCCCTGCATGCTCCCCACGAACTCTGGCAGGCTGACCCCTCCAGTCGAGGCGCTCTTCCTCTGCTTCGGCCATCTCGGGGATGGACCACCAGAAACGAATCCGGGACGAAGACCTGGCCCCCGGATGAGGGTCGAGAGGTCGGAGGGGCCTACGCCACGAAAACAACGTGACGTTGGCTGTTTAGAGACGCCCTCCCCCTCAGCGTGTCACACTGGCGCGCTGCCTTGAGGCATGTCTGGCCTGTATATTCTTCCGAGATCTCCATCGAACTTGGAAGGAAAAGGCACAGGGACCATCACCAAGACTGAACGCGGAAACGTCGTGGCGATCTTGGTCGGCGTCGATTTGGGTCAGCGTCAATTTGGGGATGATCCTCGCGAATTCAGCGACGGCCGACATGGACCATGACCAAGCTCGGCATCGAGAAGATTCCACGACGCCTTGGTCATGGTTCCCGTATTTCTTCCCTCGAGAGCCGATCTCTTCAATCCGGGCGCTTTTCACGTGTGTCCGTCTCCATGGGCCATTTTCTCGGGCCCTGGGGCCATCGGATCCGGAAGGAAAGACAGGCCCCAAGGAAGGCGCCGAGGTCCAGGGCCCACAGGTGCATGGGAGGAGAAGCCACACATTGAACTGCTCGACGCGGAGATCCCCGTATGAGGCGATCCAAAAAGGCCTGGCCTTCGAGGATCGAAAGATTTGCCCTCTCTTCCTCGGTGAAGGCGGCGGAAGGTCGGCAGAAGCCAGACGAGGCCGCCTCCGCTGGCAGAAAGCGCCTGAAGGCCGGCGGAAGCCGGCAGAAACAAAAAGAGTCGACCTCCAGGAGATGACAATTTTCGGGTTCAAGGTTTCCGGGACCCACCATCTGTGCATCTCAGTTCTTGGCACTTCCGTCTGTGAGTGTCTGGGTGAGGGAGTTTTGGCCTGTGGCAAGTGAGCGCTCCCTGGTGGTATCCACCCAAATACTACGTCTGCTGCAACGGGACGACCCTGGGACTCTGAAGGGAGAGGGGTCAGGGGTACCTAAACGATCTGGGCGCGAACTGGCAAGCGTAACACCCCCTGGCGGCTCCACCTTGGGGTACGCACATGTTATGCAGACTGCACTGCGGTGATCATGGGGCTCTGAATGGAGAGGGGTCGGGGGTGCCAAAACCAGCGGATCGCTCGAGGAATCCCTACAACTTAGGAGCGAGAGGCCAGTGCAGCACCCCTTGGCGGCTCCTCCGTGAGGCGCCCAAGTGCTCTGCCTGCTGTCGAACTGATCAGGGGGCTCTCGAAAACTGAGGAGTCGGGGGAGTCGGGGGCGCCAAACGAGCGAACCGCTCGAGACATCCGGTGGCCTCCCCAAAATCCATACAATATGGACGCGACCGGGCAAGTGTTTACCTCCCTGGCGGCACTACATTGGGGTGGCCAAATGCCGCGCATGCTTTGTCGCGGTGGTTTTCACAAGAAGTGGGTCTGAGCCACCAAACGAGCACACCGCCCCCACAAGATGGGCGTGAACGGGCAAGTGCCATCCTCGGGGTGCTCAAAAAGTGCCACGCCTGCTATACGCTGTGGTCATGGGGCTCTGAAGAGAAGGGTCCTGACCACCAAGCAAGCAAACCGCGGGAGACATCCCCACAATATGGGCGCGAGCGGACAGATGTCCCCAACCCTTGCGGCACCACCTTGGGTTGCCCAAGTGCCACGTCTGCTACGTGGCGGGGATAGTGTGGCTCTGGAAAGAAAGGACTCTGAGCCATCAAGCGAGCAAACCGCCTGAGGCATGCTTACAGTCTGTGCGCGAACAGGCAAACGTCCTACCCCTTGGCGGCTCCTCCTTCAGGTGCTTAAATGCTACGCCTGCTGCGTGGCGATGAGCATGGGGCTCTGAAAGAGAGAGAGAGAGAGAGACAGATAAACAAAAAGAGAGAAACAAGTAAAGAAAGGGCGCGAGAAAAAGAGAGAGAGAGAGAAAGAGACGTCTGATCCACCAAACAGACAAACCGCCTAAGACATTCCCACAAGATAGGCGCGAACGTGCAAATGCCCTACTCCCTGGCGGCTCCTCTTTGGGGCTCAAGTGCCACGCATCCTACATTGCGAAAGCATATAGCAAGTGGGACTGAGCGAGAGACAGCCTGAGTATAAGTGATTCTGAATGCGAATGAGTCAGAGAATGGGTGTGTCTGAGAGTGAGTGCGTCTGATTGTGATGAGTCTGAGTATGAGTGTATCTGGGTGTGGGTGAGTCTGGATATGAGTGCACTGGGTGCGATGAGAGAGAGAGAGAGAGAACAACAAAAAAAAGAAATGACAGAGAGAGAGGGAGACGCAGAGAGGGAGAAAGAGAGACGGAGGGAGAGGGAGAGAGAGATACAGACAAATGAAGCGGGAGTGAGTGAGGATGTGGAAGCTTCCAGTCCTAGGCCCCATACTCAGGACATGGGAACATCACTGCATCAGACATGGCATGTCCGCCTTGCTGTGCGCTGTGGACTCACTGTTGCTGCTTGTAAACAGCAAGAGCGAGATAGAGAGAGAGAGAGAGAGATGGAGAACAAACAAAACAAACAAAAAGGACAACACACAACAGAGGAGGGAAAGGTGCGGGCAGTTATGTCATACTTGCGGCACCCCATCGCCCCTCCATAACTTGGGACAACTTGGAGCGGGCCTCGACGGGGCGAGGAGCAGGGGAAGACGAGCAGGATGGGCGAAGGAGGGGGGGGGGAGGACGAAGAGGGGGGAGGGGAAAGGGGAAAGGGGAGCGGGAGGAGGAACATTTGCACTTTCCAGCAGTATGGCGCAACGGCAAGGGGTCCGATGAACGCGACCCTGCGAGGTGAACGCAAACCGGGGGAATACACGCGACCCAGCGGCCAGGTGCCGAACGCCAACGGCGAAAAGAGGCCGCTGCCATGCGAAACGGTTGGTTGTATTTTGATTGCGCGCGTGCTTGTCCCAGCCGCTCTACGGATGCCAGTAGGCGATCGGCATGATATCCCTGCTCCTGCTCCCGCCCCGACCCCTACGAGGGGCAAGAGCGGCGGCATGGGTCAAATTCTGGCCTCGAGGGCCTTGTTCTCCCATCCATGCCCTGCTTCCCCTGGCGCCCAAGGCAGGGGGCCGCAGCAGGGGCGTGGATCGAGCGTCGACCGTCGATCCTGGCCGCCCTGGCAGCGAGCGGCAACTCTGGACTGCGGGCCCTCCCTGCCCCCCCGCCCACTCGGGCTCCTGGCCGCTCCGCGGCGCCCACGCCCCCCGCGCTGGGCCGGCGGCGTGGAGCTGCCGCTGGAGGGCCTCGATCTGCCTGCGCCGCGCGCGGGGGGAGATGGCTCTCCCTCACGCCTCGCCCCTGCTCCAGACGACCACGACTCCGGGCTGCCTTTCCTCGAACCTCCTCCGCCCGACTTCCCCCCCCCCTCAGGAATACCTATCCTGCCCCTCCTCCGTCCACCTCCTCCATTCCTTCTCCGTCCTCCTCCTCATACCTCTCCAGCCTGGGCCGAATCCCTTGAGGACAAAGCGCGACCACAGGAGTAGACCCCCCATCGGCCCCCCGGTTTCAATCCGCATTTGCAAGCTGGATACGCCCCATCCCACGAGGTAACCAATATGCGCAACCATCGCTCCAAATCGTGTCGCCATGTCCTGCGCGGCCGCTCCGGCTGCAAACCGAGCGGTGACCACTGCGTGGCCTATTAATTCAGCAATAAACCTGGACACGCTAGACCAGGACATCCAACATACCTCGAACTAGTTTTTTTTCCCACGGCGGCACGAACGAAAAACCGCACTGCACAAGAGGGCGGCACGAGCAAAAAACTGCACTGCAGCAACAGAAACTTGCACTGGACGACCAAGGGCAACAACAGCGGAAGTGCACTGGACCACCAAAGTTTGACTTTGCAGGAAACGCTGTCGTTTTCCCGAGCTGTCAATGTCCTGCTTAGCCTTTGTCCTGGTCTCGGGTGGGCTGAAACGACCCGCGGTGCCCGACTCTGGAGGGCGGCAGCTGCCTCGAGCGTGCCTCGCGCCCCCAGCATCGGCTACCACGTTGATTAACAATAAACTACACAGGAGAAACAAAATCCCAATCAGTGGATGGTACGTTCGTTTTGCAAGCACCACACCCGGCCGCAGCTTCGCAAGAGCGCCCTAAAATGCTGACTCATTGATTGCCCCTGCGTGTTGGAAAGTTTGTGGCATCCTCGCTCTTTCGGTCATCCGTCGGCTCAAAATGGCCTAGGAGGTCTCCAATATTGCCCCATGACGGCGCACGAGGGACCCAAGATGACCCAGGCGGGCCTCCGAAGGTACCCTCGACGGCCTGAGAGGGCCCCTCGACGACTCAAGAGGGCCACAACACGTCCCCACAACGGCCCGGGAAAAAATATCAGCATCGGCAAAAGAGAACCAGAAAGAGAGAGAGAGGGAGAAAGAGAGAGGAGGCGACCACCGACAGCTTTCGCCAATCTCTTAAGGGGGCGCCCACCGAACGCCGCCCAACGAAAGCCGCCCACCGAAATCGCCCGCCCACTTTGGCCAATCTCTTGAATGTCCGCTAAGACCCCGTCAAAGTAAACACTGATAGGGGAAAGAACCCCTGACCGTGTGAGAGGGGACCTAAATTAGGAGGGCCCCGAACATTAGGGATATGGCGTGTTTTTTGAAGATGCATCAAACCAAACCGCCCATATTCATGATCCCTCATCTGCAGACGGGGACCTCAGTGAGGCCACGTCCTCACTGTAATATCAAGATTGGGGCTTCTTTTTTTTTCTCCTCGATTACACGTACTGCGCTGCGCTTTCAACTAGCTCATCACGGGAACTATTTCTTTCGAGTTCCAGTTCTTGACGACCAGTTACTTCCCGATCCACCTGAGTACGATCCTCCCGATCGTCCGGCTGACCTACACGAAGGCCCCCCAGCCCACGAGCTTTTCCGTGTCGATCTTCGCGACGTCCGCGACAACATTCTTGCTCCTGGTGCCGAACTCCTGCGCTCCCCCGACGGCCAGGATGACCCTCATCCTCTACGCGGCGCTCTCCATGCAGGCCCTCATGTCCAGCGTGGTCGCCTGCGTGGTGCCCTGCGTGACCTGCGAGTCGCCCTCCATGCCGAAGGCCCACCACCCACCGTGCAGAGAGGCCACCTGGCCGAAACTGCAGCCAGCCTCCACGTGCCAGAGGATCACGGCCCTATCTATCGACGGGCCTCCGCCGACTGCCGCTGGAACTGACCATGGCAACCGGGCCAAAACCGCATCCGGCCCCCCTGAGAGTCCACCGACCACGACTGGCGCCAGCAAAAAAAGGCCAGGCCCACACTGCAGCCAGACCACCCGTCGTGGTTCACTGCGGCCCTCCAGCCGAATGTCCGACGATCGCAACTGGAGCCGCTCAGTGTAGCCACCATGCCAACACCTAGTTAGTCCCTCGTGACCTCTACCGCGAGCGCCAGCCGACTACCACGGGGGATCCCCAGGCGGGTCACCCGACCCAGCCTGACATGGAACGGCCTCAGTCAATCTACCGCCCTGGCTGCCAACGACTGATGTGTCAAGTCTTTCACCCTTCCAATCGTTCGATCGAGGATCAGCCGACAACCAACGGAGCCCACGACGTCAGACGACCGTCCGCCGACCGTCAGACGACACGCCAAGAGACGCTGACCCGACTGACGACGCCCACCGGCCGCGAGCCCGCCCTCCGATCGCCAACGATGACCACCCGACCACCACCAACGACCGTTCGCGGACCGCCAGAACAACCGCCGACGATCAACTTTTGATCAGCCGACACCTGACGACGACGATCGACGACCGCCTGCTACCTACTTACTGGGCAACGCGTGCCCCCACGCGGCGACAGCCACGGCCCAGAAGTAGACCACGCCCACATCCACATGGCGACCCTCCAGCTGGCCACCTGGGCGCCGCTGCGAGCGTCACCCACGCGGTTCGCGCCGCGTCGCGCCGAGGGCCACTGCAGCAGCCACCAGGCTCGCTGCTCGCGTGCACCGAGCGCCGCACGCAGAGGAGGACACCGACCACCCTCATTGCCATTGCATCCTTCAGCACAGCACCGCTCAGCCGCCAGCGACAACGCCAGCACCACCGCACACTGCGTCGGGACCATCGGAGCCCACCAGGGCCAACTCATCGGCAGACAGGACCGATGTACTGGCTGCTGAGACTGGCTTCGCTCCTCCCCCCATACCTCCACCCATCCACGAAGGTACCGAGGTGACGGTTACCAGCCAAGGGCGTAACCCCATCAACGGCCACCACGGCACCGTCGTCGGCCGAACGGGGGAACACCACCAGTACTGGGTGGTCCAGCTGAACACCCGGAACACCGTCCGCCTCCGCACGTCCAGCTCGACAGCTGCCCCCCCCTAAGCGGGGAGAAGCCCTTCGACGCCCCGCCGCCGACCGGCAGACCAGCGGCCGTCGATCGACTGCGCCCGTCTGCCGCCCGTCCGGCGACTGCCCGACGACCGTCTTACCAGTGCGCCGACAACCGCTGCCGAGGGCCGCCGAACGAACGTCGACCGACCGAAGCGCACGCCTGACGACCAGGCGGCAGCACCCGCACCAGCGCTGATCGTGTGCTGCGAGTGCCGCACCTAGAGGAGGACAACGACCATCCTCCCAACGGGGAGAAGCCCTTCGACGTCCCGCCGCCGACCGGCAGACTACCGTCCGACCGAACGGCTTCGCCCGTCCACCGCCCGTCCGACGACGGCCAGACGACCGTCTAACGACAGCGCGCCGACTCCCGCCGCCGACGGCCGCCGAACGAACGTCGACCGACGCGCGCGCCTGACGACCAGCCACATGCCGATGCCACCCCGCAGTGGGTCCCAGTGACCCTCTCGCCGAGTGGCCGACGAGCACCACTGGCACCTCCCAGCAGGGCCACAAGGTCCACACGACAGCCAGACTACACGCTGTCACGCACGGCATCCCCCTCACCCCGTGCCGCGAAGGGGTTGGCGTGCTCATCCTCCGCCTGCGCGCCCCACTTTGGGCTTTCCTTCGTGAGCTCGCCTTGCTGGCCACTGCTACTCGAGAGATGGCCACTCTCATCCGCGTGCGGCTCCACTCTGCAGCGCGCTGCCGCAATTGCAACGACGAGGCCTGTTGCTCGCCGCGGGCCTCGTTCCGGCCCCCCCAGCGCCCCTCAGAGCGGCACGCCACCAGGCGCAGCCGCGTGGACCACCAGCTTCCGTTTGCGACGCGGGGGAAGCGGCGGAGTAGGAGCAGGAGTAGGAGCAGGAGCAGGAGCAGGAGTAGGAGTAGGAGTAGGAGCGGGACTTTTTTTTTGACATTCGCTTCGGGGATGATCTACAGCACAGGCGCGTTCCTCGGACAGCAGCTGACCCCCACGCATTGCCTGGGGCGCTGCCAGTTCCGATTCGGCTCCACCGAACTCTACCCCAGGAGGAGGAGAGGAGGAGAGGGAAAACGTCCTGAAACAATTAGCCCGGGTTAAACGCTGCCCACCTTCTAATGAGCCGTTCCCAGGCCAGACGGATCAACGCAGACCTTCCCCAGAATGGGGAGGAGATTCCCAACCCACCCACCAATTCTTCCCCAGACTCGAACAATCCCTGAACGCCAATTTGCAGGTTCGGACTTTCGGGCATGGTGAGAGCATGGCAAGACCCGCCAGGGAAGGCCACATGCTTTCGCCTGCGACCTGGCTGCCAATTCCTTGAACTGTCTGGAGGGAGGAAGGAGGGAGGGGAGATGCATGAGGGAGCAAGGGAGGGGGAGGAGATCAACTGCTATGCACTGGGGTAACTCACTTCCCACATTCTAATGGGCTGACCACCTAGCAAAGCGAGACCTGACCATCGCACCATAAGGGATGAAGAAAAGAAAGACCAGGGGATTACTTCGCCAGACTTGCCTGGACCCCTGATAAGAGTAAGAATAAGCCTGGGCTGAAATGCAGCTGCCCTAACTAGCGCCCGGCAAAGAAAACTGAAGAAAAGAAACATACCTGCTTCACAGTACTGCCATTCTGGCCAAAAGGATACGGAACGTGTGAAGGTTAAAGAACGCTGGGTAGCTGACAAATGTCCATCCCAAACGCGAGAACTGACCAACACACAAGGTTGAGGATTCTACCAAGAACCTGTAACCATAGATACTTCGCTCAACTAAGCCATAAACAACCGATCATATGTTGCCCACGATGTAATATAAATTCTGCCGCTGAACTGAATGACTTGGGTGCTACCAGCGACAAATGATTCTCCGTTTGCTGTGAAGAAGAGGAGCCTGAGCTGGATCTG